ATATGTGTAAAACTAAAAGAGTTTTACATCATGAAAGAAGATACTATCTCATATATATATATATATATATATATTAAATGTGATATTAAAAATAATTTTTTAAAAGGTGATTATAAAATTGTATTTTTTCTAATAAAAATTATATTTTTAAGAAAATAAAAATATTATATATTAAATGTTCAAGTAACATCTTCCCCTCATAATACCTAGGTAGTAGCAAATATGGACGAGAAACGAATAATATTTCATTGTTTTTTGTGCAATAATGATAAAAGAATCACATAAAGAGGACCATGTTTGGATTTCTATTTCAGGAGTATGTATTCATTCATGCACACTTACCTCTTATTAGAATACGTTAAAATTTATAATTCCAATTTTGTTATAATTTAATTTAAAAAAACTATAGCACTATTTATTTGATGAAATAATAAATTAAAAAATTTAAATATATGATGAATATGAGAATTCTCAAATCTCTCTCTCTCTCTCTCTATATATATATATAAATATAAATATAAATATAAAGATTGAACTATAGTTTATAGGATAAAGTATACAAATAGTCCTCCGACTATATGATAATGTTTTATTGAGTCCTTTGAGTATTAAAAGTTATAAATAGTCCCCCAACTATATGGAGTTGCTTTGTTGAGTCCTTCGACTACTATATATAATGTTTTATTGAGTCATTGACTATTAAAAGTTATAAATGGTCCCTCAACTATAGGGAATTGCTTTGTTGAGTCCTTCTACTATTAAAAATTACAAAATTGTCATCCGACTATTCATTATGTTCCAAACTCATCATTTTCCGTTAAAATTTGGACGACAATCTCAACTGTACATTAACTTGTTAATTGAGATACGATAAAATTTGATCTCATAATCTCAAATGACTACCATATCTCAGCCAACATGTTAATGTTCAGCTCAGAAGATCATTAAATTTTTAATGGAAAAGAATGAGTATGGAATATAATGAATAGTCTAGTGACAATTTTGTAACTTTTAATAGTTGATGGTTAGTGACAATTTTGTAACTTTTAATAGTTGATGGTGTAACGCCCTAAATCTCGAGTTAGTAGTTCGGGTTGATCCGAGACCTATTAAATTGAGCCCAATAGACCTTTTAGTATAGCTTGGACCAAGTTGAGTTTGAAATTAGGCTTGAGTTGGCATAAATGATAGATAGTTGAGAACATTTTAATATTAGGTTGGAAGAGGGAGGACTAGAAGTGTAATTAACCCATTGCTCAATTCAAAAGCTGAAAATCCTTAAAATTTGATGATTTTCATGTGAACCACTCCACCTTCCTTTCTCATCAAACACACTTCCTCATCTTTCTCTTTTTTCTTCCTCTTTTTCTCCATGGTTGTGAAAAAGGTAGAAGCTTTAAGAATTTCAAGCTTGGTTTGGTTTAACAAAGGTAAGAATAATAATCTCCATTTCAAGAGCTTTAATTCAAGCCCCTAATCTCAAGTTTTGGGTTTAGTTTTAAAAATGAGTTTTAGGGCGGTTTAAGAGAATCAAGTGATTATAGTCCATTTTTTGGTGGAATCAAGTTATAGGGAGTGTTCTTAACTTCAATCCAAGCCCGTAGTTAAGTTAGTAATTTATTTTCTTGCTTTTGTTTAGTGAAGGAAGTAGGGGAAAGCTCTAAAGCTAGAGGAAAAGAGAAGTTGACTCTTAGGTGATTGGAGAACATATTAGCAACGAAGACATCAAAGGTAACACATTCACAACTTCTTCATACCATTTATGAGTCATTTAAATGTCTTATAGCTTGAAAGTTGAGTTAGGGAGTATGGTATAACATTTCATGGTAAATTCCATGTTTTGGTGTTTAAGCATGTTCTAAAGCCTTTATTATGACCTTTTTATATCACATAAAACATTAACAATGATTCGAGACCTCAATAGAACAATTTGGGAGATTTTGAGTGTCAATTTCGTGCCCAAATAGGGCATTTTTGAATGTGAGTATCGGTATTGGAAAAATAATACCGACACCGTTCTTATTAGAGGTATAAAATCAAGAGAATTTTATGAGGGAGTATCGATACTCATTATAGGAGTATCAATACCGGGGCTTTGGTTTCGAGACCCAAGGGTTGGTATCGAGACAATTTCTCCATTGTTCAATTTTGGTATCGGTACTCGAGGGTCAACACTGATACCGAGAGGTCAGTATCGATACCAACATACATTGTTGGGGCTTTAATTTTAAGAGACTTTAAGAGGAAATGAGGTTTCCCAAAAACTCTATAATTAGTCTCAAATAAGACTACAAGTGAGAACAAAATTAATGCTCAAATACATTAGAAACGAGATCAATTAGGGTGACATAAAACTAACCTTAATTGATACTCGAAAAATGATCAGGGCACCCGAGTTACTTTAGTAAAGATATCAGTGTCGAGATATAGTATTGTCTGGATATCCTTTGGTAGTGCGTGAGGCACTTTAAATTGACTAACTAGGGTTAAGGCCAAACACTCGCAAGGGGTGGGTTAGTCGAGGGTCTTATGTCTGATGTAGAGATTCTGGGCCTCATCCTAAGTAGACTAGAGGGGTGTGTGAGCTACGAGGTTCAAAACTCTCAACCGTACCATGATGTCTACCATAAAGTAGAGAGTGAAATATATAAGTATACTCACTATTGCATTGTACTTGATAGCTTGAGCATTTGATGAACATTTTTAGTATGGTTTAGTTGTTAATGTGGCACTGGGCTAGTGAGCTCAGCGTTCGAAATTTGTTTGCATGCACATGTATTTAGGAGGAGCAGTCGAGAAGCCCTTTTGAGTAGCAATTCCTAGACTGAGTGCATAGCAGAGTACGTCTCGAGATATCTTCTTTAAAGGGCATGTAATATTTGTAGACCCTTTTGTATATTCGAGTCGTAACTTTATTTTGAAACGTTGGGTTGTATATTTTGATATATTTATTTTGGGAGCTCCTCGATGTAAACTTATTTATACTTCCATGGTTGAATTTCTTTATTCGAAATGTTTTTTAATGGTAATTTTAACTAAGAATTTTTTTTGGATTAATCACTCTGGTGGTTCCATGTGGCATTCTAATCGGTCTATTGTGTGTCATGTCGGTTTAGGATGTTACGGATGGACTCAATAAAACAACTCTTTATAATCAGGAACCATTTTATAATTTTTAATAGTCAAATGACTTAATAAAATAATAACCTATAATTGGGAGACCATTTGTGTAATTTACCCTAATTTATATGTTCGTACATCTCTCTCTATATATAATTTGATATAACTCTATGAAATTCTTTTATATTTATAGTTAATAAACTTTATCTCCTTTATTCATAGTTTTTTTCATTTGAGATTTTTTAACGTAAAATCTATATTTTCTTTTTATATTATTATTTCTTTAAACGTAATATATATAGGGTTAACTAATTCAAATACCACTCACCTTTAAACGTGGGCTCGTTTATGCCACTAACATTTTAATTTTACCAATTTTAACACTAACGTTTATGTTTAACTCCAATTATGCCACTCCGTCGTTAATTCATTAATGGAGTAATGACATGACATCTCTGTTCCATAACGGCGATTACATGGCTCCCTCATCAATATGATGTCGTTTTGACACGATCGTTTTGATGCTCAAAAAGCTCAAAACGACGTCGTTTTGTTGATGAAAAAAATACTTTTCATGGGATTCAAACCATATACCTTTAGAATCCAAAACTAAATACCCAACCACAAGCTAACTTAAGAACTTGCTATAACCTTGACAAAACTATTATAAATGTTAAATAACAATTTGAATTTTTAGTTTAACTAATAATATTCATCTTCTTCCTTTCTTCATCAAGAAAATTCCACCAATGGTTTCAATGAGGGATGAGCAAAATCAAAGCCGAATAATCGCAGAAATTCCAGCAAAGTTACAGCAAGAAAATAAAGAAGAAAATGATTTCGCATGCCGCAAATCAAAGCAAGAAAATAAAGAAGAAAATCAAATCCAAATAATAGCAGAAATTCCGGCAAAGTTATAGTGAAAAAGAGAAAATAATGTCGCATGACGCCATTGAAGAGAAAACGAAGCAATTGCAGCATGAACAAAAGATAAAGAAGAAAATAAAAGAAAAGCGAGAAGGAAAACAAATTTTATCACGGCATCGAACGTATGAGTTGCTTAAAGAGCTTTGACATGCAAGTTTTGTTGATGAGGCTTAAATAAAGGGAAAAAAAGATTCACGAACAATCTCACCCATGCTTATCTTTTTCTTTTTTTTCATCATTTTTTCAACTTTTTTTCCCTTTTGAATTATAATTTTGTACTTTTTCCCAGATAGTTCAAAATGCAGGTTGTTGTATCTATAAAATCTCTGTCTCATGAGGTTTGTTATATTATTAATGAAGTTCTTTTAAGAAAAAAATATGAATTATAGGTTGTGATGTTAAAGATAATGATTGAAAAATAGTAGTAGTAGTAGAACCGTTATGGATGGAGGAAGATAATGAGGGTGACGGTGGTAGAGATGAACATTTATTATAGTTTTGTTAAGGTTGTATCAAGTTCTAAAGTTAGCTTGGTGGTTGGGTATTTAGCTTTGGATTCTAAAGGTTTATGGTTTAAATCCCATTAAAAATATTTTTTTCATCAACAAAACGACGTCGTTTTAAGTTTTTTAAGCATCAAAACGGTCGTGTCAAAACGAGGTTGTTTTGGGAGAGAGTCATATCATTGCCGTCACGGAATAAAGATGTCATGTCATCGCTCCGTTAATGAATTAACGGCGGAGTGACATAATTGCAGCTAAACATAAATGTCCTGTTAAAATTGATAAAATTAAAACGTCTGTGACATAAACGAGTGGTATTTGAAATAGTTATATATATAAAATGTGTCCGCGCTTTGGGAGCTTAACAAGTATAAATAGCCCTTCCACCCAAACACCAACAAGCACCAACTGCACCGCAGCATCTACTAGCATTCTTCAAGTCCCCTTGCTTTCCATTCTCGGTAAGCTTTGCATCAGTTTATTGTGGAAGAAGCTTAGTTTTCTGTGTCTGGTTTTGTTTCTTTTTAATAATCTTCTTCTTTGTAAAAAGTAGATTTTCCGAGCCGAAATGAGCTGGATAGGAGGAGGAGACTGGCTGTGCGCCGCATGCCAACACCAGAATTTCAAAAAGCGAGAGGCTTGTCAACGCTGTGGCTATCCCAAGTACGGCGGCCCCGACGTATCGACCTTCGTATTCAACAAAAGCTACGGCGCCGAAGCCTTGGCCGGGGACTGGTACTGCACGGCCATGAACTGTGGAGTTGTCAACTACGCAAGTCGAACGAATTGCTACCGGTGTGGTGCGATGAAAAACGATTTTGTCGGCTATAATAACATGATGGGCGCCGACGGAACCGTCGTTCCCCCTGGATGGAAAACGGGTGACTGGATTTGCACCGGGTGAGAGTTTGCATTCAATACACTTTGTATGGGACGTACGTAGAATTTTATATTAAGAAAATATAGAATATAATTACACACGCTGCATTGTGCGCTGATACGACATTCTTGATGTTTGCAGATATGGGTGTGGAGTTCACAATTATGCTAGCAGGATCGAGTGCTTCAAATGCAGGACACCAAGGGATTTCGGTAAGAACATGAAACAATGAGTTAATTCAGAGCATACTCCATGAATACAAGCTTTGTATCAGTGACAATGAAGTTCCTGACAAGTTTTGCTTCTGTTTCTTTCTCAGGTGGTGCATAGGAGTTTAAGAAGACGAATGGTGTGTGCAATGGCTGTCACTAATCTCTAATCCTTCAATCACCAGCCTTCGTTTTTCCAAGACTGTAATCATGATGTTTCCTTTCTACAAGAGATGGCATGAATCTGAGAGCAAAGATTCATAGTCAAATAGAAACTTAATAAACATTATGGTGTTAACTCCAATTCTCCATTACAGCAGCTTTCTTTTTGACAAGATTCTTAATCTTTTTAACACGTAGAAAGTGGCCCAATTTCCAGTGAATCAATTCGGCAACTCACCGAACCGAGCTGGTCCACACGCTAAATAATTGCCCATTCGATTCTGCTGCTGCCTGTTTTTGGCTTTACATTAAACATTTTTGGCTTAAATTTGGAAACCTAGTCAAGGGCAAGTTATGCTTCTAAATATAGGAGCTACCATGTCATGTTTACTAATGCTTGTTGGTTGAAATAGGATAGAGGTATAGAATACGGATAATATGTGTTATAGGCTTAATTATAAAATAAGTGTCCAAACTAAATCATTTTTCTCAAATAGGTGTTTAAAGTTTTTTTTTTGAATCATTCAGGTGCCACGTTACAAATGTTATCATTTTAGGTGTGTGGATTATAACGACAATTAAATTTCACCGTTAAGTGACACGTGTCAAGTTCTAGTAATTTTAAATTTTTTATTTAAAATAAAAAAAATTATATATTTTACAAAACCCAAAAATTTTGATTTTTAAAAAAACTTAAAACTTTGAAAACTCCAATTTCAATCCCTAAACCCACATCGTCTGTCGTCGTTTGATGTCTATCGGACCTCCACCGTACGACAAGCCAAACACGAACATAAACACTAACGAAGGAAATGACAAAATTGCTTCTCTGTCGAACTCAAATCCCAAAATTTGTTACACTCAGACGACCAATAATGTACACTACGACAAGGGAGACTATGACCGACCAGGGAGATGGAAAGGGCTGCGTCGACGATGGCGATTGTTGAATTATGTTTCGATATAACAAAATTAAGGCAAGATGTTTTTGGACTTGAATTGAATTTATTCAAAGTTTTAAAAAGGTTTCAAAAATAATTCAAAGTCCATTAAATTCGGATTTGAGCAAAAATGCTAAAGGGTGTCAAAGTGTATCCATGCACTCCTGCAGTGCATCCATGCACCCCTACAGTGCATCCATGCACCCCTGCAGTGCATCCATGCACCTGCCACTAGTGCATCGATGCACCATGCAGTACATCCATGCACTCAATTTCTAATGCAATTAGTGCATCGATGCACCCTGCTGTGCATCCATGCACCATGGCTGCAACGGCTAATAACAACTAGTTTATTTGAATTTAATGAAGGGGTATCAATGCACCTTGATAGTGCACCGATGCACCATGTTATGGGCAGCCTTTTTGAGTAGAAAAATCATCCCCAAACGGCTCCAAAATATCCCCAACGGCTATATACAACATCAAACACATTCCAAGAAATAAATACAAGCTAAGGACACTTGAAGAAGTAAGAGAACAACCATCCAAGCAATCAAACAGAAGAGAAGAGTTTTTCATTCTTATTTCATCTTTCTCTTGTAAATATTTTATTCTTGTGAGCTTAATTCTTGTAAACACCTACCTTAGAGAGGTTTTCTTGTTTACATTTCTTATCCTTTTATAAAGGAGAAAGGTCCTAGTTTAGCCCGAAAAAACTAGGGAGTTGTAAGGTTATCTCTTTGTCCTCAAAATAAAGAACAAATTAGTGAATTTGTTGGAAAATCCTTGGTGAGGAGCTAAGGTAGTGGACGTAGACTTTGGTTGAGAAAGTCAAACCACTATAAATCGCTGTGCAATTCTCTATCTTTCAATCTCCTTACTCCCTAAACACAAAACCGTTCCGACCCCTCTTTACAAACCGTTCCAGTTGTCGATTCGAGCTTCCGAATATCCCAACAATTGGCATCAGAGCCTAACTCGTTAAGAAGGTTTAATCACCTTGAGACAATCCTCGAAGAAGCTCTACCAATTCTCGATGCAAGACAAAGAAATGACTTTTTCCTCCGGTGCTTATTATCTTGAAGAATATTCTATTATGGATTCACAACCGGTCAACAAGCCACCCTTCTTCAATGGAGTAAATTATGCACATTGGAAGAATAAGATGATGTACTTTATTCAATCCTACAATCTAGGAGCTTGAAACTCAATCATGGACGGTTATTCCTCTCTACCCGGCAAGTACAATGATTGGAGTAGAGAATAACAAAAAAATTTCCAGCTTAATTCTAAGGCTATACATATTCTATTATGTACTTTAGGCCCAAATGAATATGGAAGAATCTCATCTTGTTCCAGTGCCAAAGAGATTTTGGATAAGCTCCAAGTCACTCATGAAGGAACCAACGAAGTGAGGGAATCAAAGAAAAGTCTTCTCAACCATAGCTACGAGAACTTCAAGATGAAACCCGATGAAGACATCAAAGCTATGATGGATAAATTTTCCATGATTGTCAACGGTCTCAAGGGATATGGAGAAGTAATCCCAAATGAGAAGCTTGTGAGGAATATGATCTACTCTCTTCCAAAAGAGTGGCAATCAAAGAAGACGACCATTATCGAAGCAAAAAACCTAAAGTCTCTCACTCTCGACGAGCTAATTGGTTCCCTTCTCACTCATGAGATGATGGTGAATGAAGATGAAAAAAGGGAAGAGAATAAAAACAAGAAGAAGAAGAAGAAGGGGGAGGAGGTAGGCATTGCTTTCAAATCCACCAATGAAAGCTATCAAGATTCAAGTGATGAGGTGGATGAAGACGATGATGAACAAGAAGAAAAGATGGTCAAGCTCTTGAAGGAACTCAAGAGATTCATGATTTCCAAGGAAGTGAAACATGAATCAACCAAGAAGAAGAGTCCCCCGGTAAGTTTCAATTGTCAAAGAAAGGGGCATGTCAAGTATGAATGTCCTATTCTAAAGAAAAAGGGGAAGAAGGCATTTGTTGCATCTTGGAGTGATGAAGATGATTCCAATGATGAAGATGAAGTAGTCAACCTATGCCTCATGACCACTCAAGAAGAATTCGAGGTATCTTCTAACTCAAATGAATTTAATTCATTTACTTTTGATGAGTTACAAGATGCTTATAATAGGTTGTATTTGGGATTTGAGACCATGAATTTCAAATATACGAAATTAATTTCAAAACTCAAAATTAAAGATAATTTGATTTTGAAATCAAAAGTTGATTTTGAAAATCAAAATAAATGATTTAGAAAAAGAAAATTTTGAGTTAGGAGTTAAGCTTGAAAGCTTAATAAAAGAAAAAGAATTAATTTCTAAAAACAACCTATTATGTTTAGATATGGCAAAATGCTCACATTGCCATTATCATGGTCATATGGAACATACTTGTCCTTTGAAGAAAGGAAAACGTTTTAAAATTAGACAAGTATGGGTTCCCAAAGGAACAAGAGGCATTGAAACTAACGTTCAAGGACCCAAAGCAATTTGGATACCAAAATCTACTTAAATGTCTCTTGTAGGTGTGTGAGAGCAATGGTGATGAAAATGATGATATTCAAGATGCTCTAGCCACACATGAAAAGGAATGGGTAACATCTAAGCTTAATGTTTTTAATTTTAGTTATTTGGTTGCTCATAGGATTTATGCATGCATGAGTTTTGATTTTAAATGATTATGCATTGTTTTTAATCTCATATATGTTAAAAAAAAGGTTATGATGAACATTTTAAATTTTTAAAGATTTTTTTTTCAGTTCATCATAATAAAATTTTGGTCAAAATTGGTTTTAATGCAAATGATGTCTCTCTAACAATTGATATCATTTTTTCAAAAACTTTGATTTTACAAATTTTAAATTTTTGACCTAAATTTAAATGTTTATGCATGTGATTTAAATGAAAATGATATCTCTCTAACAATTGATATCAAAATTTTCAAATGCATAACATTTTTGGAAAAAACTTTATGCATATGCACTTAATTTCAATAATTAATATTGCATAAAGTATTTTAGACTTGGATATATTGAATTTCATGTACTACTAACATATTTGTTATTCTTTGTTGAAATTCAATTTTGTTTGAGTGTCAAATTCTTAAAGCTAAATTTTGTTTGGAATGCATTTATTGAGGGGGAGCTTTGATTTTTCAAATAAGTTTTAAAATGTCAAATTTACTACTTACTCTCCAAAGTTATTTTGAACTTCAAAGATTGATTTTTTTTATATAACAAAAAGGGGGAGAAGTTTGGTTTGAAAAATTCAATTTCTTAATGAAAAAGGGGGAGCTTAACATTTTCATATATTTTCAAACAATTGATATCATTTTGTTAACAATTGGTATCTTTTTCATTAAACATTTTATTAAGGGGGAGTTTTGCCAAAAACAATTTTTCAAATGTTTTGTTATATCAAAAAGGGGGAGATTGTTGAATTATGTTTCAATATAACAAATTTAAGGCAAAATGATTTTGGACTTGAATTGAATTTATTTAAAGTTTTAAAAAGGTTTCAAAAATAATTCAAAGTCCATTAAATTCGGATTTGAGCAAAAATGCTAAAGGGTGTCAAAGTGCATCCATGCACCCCTGCAGTGCATCCATGCACCTGCCACTAGTGCATCGATGCACCATGCAGTGCATCCATGCACTCCATTTCGAATGCAATTAGTGCATCGATGCACCCTGTTGTGCATCCATGCACCAATGCTGCAACGACTAGTTTATTTGAATTTAATGAAGGGGTATCGATGCACCTTGATAGTGCACCGATGCACCATGTTATGGGCAACCTTTTTAAGTAGAAAAATCATCCCCAAATGGCTCCAAAACATCCCCAACGGCTATATACAACATCAAACACATTCCAAGAAATAAATACAAGCTAAGGACACTTGAAGAAGTAAGAGAACAACCATCCAAGCAATCAAACACAAGAGAAGAGTTTTTCATTCTTATTTCATCTTTCTCTTTTAAATATTTTGTTCTTGTGAGCTTAATTCTTGTAAACACCTACTTTAGAGAGATTTTCTTGTTTACATTTCTTATCCTTTTGTAAAGGGGAAAGGTTCTAGTTTAGCCCGGAAAAACTAGGGAGTTGTAAGTGTTGAGTTAATCGAATGACGAAATTGGCCAAGAGGGGGGGTGAATTGGCAATAAAAAAATTTGTGGAAGCTTTTGCAGAAAATTGAAAGTAATTGCACAGCGATTTACAGTGGTTCGACTTTCTCAAACAAAGTCTACGTCCACTACCTTAGCTATCCACACTAAGGATTTTCCAACAAATTCACTAATTTGTTCTTTCTTTTGAGGCCAAAGAGATAACCTTACAATTCCCTCAAGAGTATACCCCAACTCTTGAGAACACTCTTTTCTCAAAGAGAAGATTACAAATTTGCAAACTTACAAGAAAACCTCACAAGGTAAGATGTTTGCACAATTCTAAAACAAAGAAAAGAACACTCAAAGATGAATACAATTGAGCACAAAAAGTGTTCTTGAAAGCAAAATGAATATTGAATGAAAATAGGCTTGAAATGCTCAAACTTGAGGTTTGATGCTTTCTCTTTGATTCTCTCTTGATTCTAGTTGCTTGATGTTTCTTGTTATTGATCAATGGCTTCTAAGCTTGCTTAAATACACCTTGGATCACTTCTGAACGTTGGGGATAATTAGAGAAGATATTATAGCCGTTTTAGTGTGAAAACATTTAATAAAACAGCTTGGAGCGTGGGGGGAATCGGTTCCCTCTCATAGGGAATCGGTTCCCTAAGTGTAAAATTCAAATATTTCGACCGTTGAACAGGGGGGAATCGGTACCCCCTGGGGGGGGGAATCGGTTCCCTCCGAGCATACTGGAATTCTCGGAACAAAAATGTTTAGGGGGGAATCGGTTCCTCCTATGGGGGAATCGGTTCCCTCCGAGCATTCTTGAAATCTCGGAGCCAAACCATTCAGGGGGAATCGGTTCCTCCTATGGGGGGGAATCGGTTCCCTCTGAGCAATCTGTAATTTTTGACTTTGAATTGGTTCGAAATACTTTGTAAAATTATTTTGAAATTGTTTTATGATTAAAACTTAATTTTACACTTAAGTAAGGATTAAAAATAATTTTTGAAATATTTGGAGTAATGTTTTGATATTCGAATAGTTATATCGAATATACTTTAGAAAATCATTTGGAAAATCTTAAAATCCATTTAACTTAATTTGTTATATCGAAATATTAAAATGTTTCAACAATCTCCCCCTTTTTGATATAACAAAACATTTTAGTAATTTTAAGATTTTTGAAATCAAGTTTTGAAATTACTCCCCCTTACTTTAACACTTCTTCAATTTATCATGTAAAACATATTTAACACTTATTATTCTCCCCCTTTTTGTTAAATCAAAAAGACATTGTAAAACAAGGTTTTGAAAATCATTTAGCCAATTGATTTATTAATTATAAGCTTAAGCTGCTAAGATCACAATCAAAAGAGAGGTTAGCCATTAGTTTCATAAATCAATATTCATAAATAATGTGATATGGCAAAATTGGTCATATTACTAATGATAATGTAAATGATGCAAAAATGAATAAAACACCAAACATATAAGTTCACACCATTCATAAATCCAAAATCCAACAATCCACAAAATCAAACAATTCAAAATATTGAAACAATATTCATTTTGTTCAAAGTTTTAAAGATAAACATAAAATTAAGCATCCGGATCGGTAGGAGGAAAACGGGCTCGCATAGCGGCCATCTCGTGTGTGAGTTCATTGATACGAGCGTTGGTTGATTCATTGTTTGCACGCATCTCCCGAAGAATCTCTAATTGTTGAGCTCCCATTGTGGATAAATGAGACTCTATAGAGGAAAAGCGCGAGTCCATGGTAGCGTATCGGAAATCGAATGTCTCCATAAAGGATTGAAAATATGGAGGCATTTGATGCGTTTGTTGTGCTTGCTCCTCGGGCTGCTCTTCGGGTTGTTCAGGTTCTTCTTCAGCTTCATCAATATCCCTCATTAATTGTTCAAACTCGGGATCTTCGTCAGCCTCGGGTGGAGCTTGTGAAGAACTAGCTCCCGGAGTAGAAGAACGAACCCATTCACCTGTTTCTTTGTCCTTTACCCATCCCGCTCTCGTTAAGGAAAGAAGATTTATTTGTTTCTTAAGAGGAAAAACGGCATCTAGACCGACTCTAAGCCCAGCTTTGGAAAACAGATTACTCAAAAAGCAACCGTAAACTAGAGATGAACAGTGTTTCTTGTTAGGAACAAGATTTATGGTTTCAACAATTTCAGCAAAAATAATCTGAGGTAGGTTAATTTTAATACGGTTTTCGAAACAATGTAACCACCAAAGATCCAAAGCTCTAAGAGTAGAATAACGACCTCCGGATGGTCGAAACCACCAAGAAATCATTAGATGAAGAAAACGCTCATGTAGGTCTAAGACACTCGCACTATCTCTTCTTTTATAACGAGAACCTAAAATTTGTTTTTCATTCGAAATACCATCATTATCTAATCCAAATGTATTGGATATATATGCCAGGTCAATATATAAGAATTGTCCTAGGAGGTAGGAACGAATTCCTATGGTTTCGGTTTCAGCTTGGTTTTTAACACATACGGCATTAGAGTAGAATATACGAACAAGTTGATGGTAAACGATGGGTTCAAGATCAAATAGTTTATCAAATTTCCATTCTTGTAAAATGGGAAGATATTTAAAATCGATAGCTAACATAGCTTGACGAGAAGGAATACGTTCTTCCCGGATTTTGTAAGAATCGAAATATTGATAATACCAATATCGGTGATTTCTAGACCCAGGATGATTGAAACACGAATTTTGGATAGTCAAGTTAGGATCAGTGGGATTGGGATTAGAAATTGGAATAGAAGGAGGATTTGGAGGTGAATTTGGTTGACGACTAGAACGACTAGATGAAGACCTAGGACGTTTAGGATTTGACATGGTGAAGGAAATCGGAATAGATATAATAACCTGCAATTTTAAAACAAGTGTATGCAATTCAATTAATCCCAAAACTCAATGAGTCCTCAATATTTCAAGATTCTCTGAATCAATCCTAATGGGCAAAGTTTTTGAAAAACTTTTGAAAAATATGGTTTTGAGAAACAATATATGTATAGTTTTTCATAACAACAACATAATTTAATCAAAACACAATAATTTGAAAAATAACATTTTTTTTATTATTTCGAAAATTTAAAAAAAAATTGAAAAATTCTTGTGTTTTTGATGAAATTAGTTGTAACATCTAGTTTCTAATCACTAAATAATCAATGCCCGATCACTATTTCAACCTAGAACTAATTAAAACTAATCCTATGTTCAAAAATAATGAAATAAAGAGTTTAGAAAACTTTACCTTGAAAGATGAAGATTGAGGGGATTTAGATGTTGTTTGCACGATTTTAATGATTTCAACAGGTTTAGAAGATGATTTATGAAGCAAATTCCGATTAATATTGTTGATTTGAGGCAAAAATGGAGATTTGAGAGATTTAGAGGGGAGAAACGGTGAAGAGAGAGGAAGAGGGTTTTTGAGAGTTTGGGGTTGTTCTGCCCGATTTTAGCAGAACCCCAGGGGGTATCGATTCCCCTGTGGGGGGAATCGGTTCCCCTTCAAAGGGGGAATCGGTTCCCTCAGGGGGGGATCGATTCCCTCTGCACCAAAATGCTAAAATCCGATTTTTTAAGCACAAAATGCTAAATTAATCTTTTCTAGTGGTATTGGCAACTCATATATCAAAAATTAATTATGTTCAAACAATTAAATTAATCTTTAATCGATTTTTGAACATAAAATTAATTTTCACTAAGAATCACAAACTCCCCCCTAACTAATAGCAAGAATGCAATCAAAAATTATTATAAGCATTTTTCAAGATTTATTAAAAGTGCTAAAATTATTTTAAACACTAAGTGAAGATAGGTTGGTCAAACCTAATTCTCTCCTAAGTGTCCAAAATCTTTCCTTGTCTAAGGGTTTTGTAAAGATATCCGCTAATTGGTGCAAAGTATCAACAAATTCTAGAACTACATCTTCCTTAGTGACATGGTCTCTAATGAAGTGATGTCTTATTTCAATGTGCTTAGTTCTAGAGTGTTTGATGGGATTTTTAGTGAGACAGATAGCACTAGTATTGTCACACTTGATAGGAATAGTACCTACTTCAATTCCATAATCAAAAAGTTGTTGTTTCATCCATAAAACTTGTGCACAACAACTACCAGCTGAAATGTATTCGGCTTCAGTGGTAGATAATGCAACACAATTTTTGTTTCTTTGAAAACCAAGAAATCAGCATATTTCCAAGGAATTGGCAAGTACCGGAGGTGTTTTTCCTATCTAATTTGCATCCTCCATAATCCGCATCAGAAAAAGCATGCAAGCTAAAGCTAGAGTCTCTAGGATACCAAAGTCCTAAACTAGGAGTGTCCTTAAGGTATCTAAAGATTCTCTTAACAGCTAGTAAATGTGATTCCATAGGATATGATTGAAATCTAGCACATAAGCAAACACTAAACATAATGTCCGGTCTACTTGCAGTTAGATAAAGCAAAGAGCCAATCATTGACCTATATAATTTAACATCTACACATTTACCTCCTTCATCTAAGTCAAGCTTTGTTGAAGAGCTCATTGGAGTGTTATGAGGTTTCCCATTTTCCAGTCCAAACTTCTTGAGCATATCTTTGACGTACTTAGCTTGATTAATGAAGATGCCATCTTTTCTTTGCTTGATTTGGAGTCCCAAGAAAAATGAGAGCTCCCCCATCATGCTCATCTCAAACTCACTTTGCATTAGCTTAGAAAATTCTTGACAAAGAACATCATTAGTAGAACCAAATATTATATCATCAACATAAATTTGAACTACTAATAAATCTTTACCTTTTCTCTTTAAAAACAATGTAGTGTCAACCTTTCCTTTTAAAAAACCTTTTTCAATTAAAAAATTTGACAATCTTTCATACCAAGCTCTAGGAGCTTGTTTTAAACCATAAAGAGCTTTTGTCAATTTTAAAACATGATCCGGAAAATTTGAATCTTCAAAACCTGGAGGTTGTTCCACGTACACTTCTTCTTTTATAAAACCATTTAAAAATGCACTTTTAACATCCATTTGATATAATTTAAATTCATTGAAACATGCAAATGCTAATAACATTCTAATTGCTTCCATCCTAGCTACGGGAGCGTATGTTTCATCATAGTCTATGCCTTCTTCTTGAGTATAGCCTTGACCAACAAGTCTAGCCTTGTTCCTCACTATATTACCACTTTCATCAAGTTTATTTCTAAAAACCCATCTAGTACCTACAGTAGATTTATTACTAGGCCTTTCAACTAATGTCCATACTTTACTTCTCTCAAATTGATTTAATTCTTCTTGCATAGCCATAATCCAATGTTCATCTTTTAATGCTTCTTTGATGTTCTTAGGCTCTATGCATGAAATAAATGCAACATAATTACAGATATTTCTAAGAGAAGATCGAGTAGTTACCCCTTTTGATGGATCACCTATAATTTCACCATCCTTGACATAGTTGTACTCTCTTGGAAAAGATACTTCCCTTTCTTCAATGGTTGGATTCTCGAGGGGATCATGAGTTTCCTCATCTTTTGTTTCTTCCTTTGATGATGATTCTCCAACGTCATGTTTAACGTCATTTGCTTGTACAATACCTACATCATCATTAACAGAAGAATCCTTCCTCGGAAGGGGATTATCATCGAAAACAACATGTATAGACTCTTCTACAACTAAAGTTCTTTTATTAAATACACGATAAGCTTTAGAATTTAATGAATAACCCAGAAAAATTCCTTCATCACTTTTAGCATCAAATTTACCAAGATTTTCTTTACCGTTGTTTAAAACAAAACATTTACATCCAAAAGGATGAAAATAGCTAATGTTAGGCTTTTTATTTTTGAGAATTTCATATGGATTTTCTTTAAAATTGGCCTAATCATTACTCGATTTACAACATAACAAGCGGTATTTGTGGCTTCCGCCCAAAAATATTTTGGCAAATTATTTTCACAAAGCATGGTTCTAGCCATTTCTTCTAAAGTTCGATTTTTCCTTTCAACAACTCCATTTGTTGAGGGGTTCTAGGTGCTGAAAAATTGTGGCTAATACCATTAGAATTACAAAACTCAATAAATCCAAGATTTTCAAATTCAGTTCCATGATCACTTCTAACACTAGTGATAGAGTATCCTTTTTCATTTTGGATTATTTTTGAAAATGTGATGAAATTTTCTAATGCTTCATCTTTAGTACTTAAGAATAGAACCCAAGTGTATCTAGAATAGTCATCTACCAAGACAAATGCATATTGTTTTCCTCCCAAGCTAGTAGTTCTAGTTGGCCCAAAAAGATCTAAATGGATCAATTGTAATACTCTACTAGTTGATACATCATTAATAGATTTAAAAGAAACTCGTTTTTGTTTTCCTTTAGCACAAGCATCACAGATTTTATCATTATCAAATTTAAGCTTAGGCAACCCTCGAACTAAATCACCTTGAATTAGCCGTTGCAAAACACTCATACTAGCATGACCTAGTCTCCTATGCCATAACCAACTATCATGCTCATCCTTAGCAACTAGGCATAAATTAGTCATATCAATAGAATCTAAATGCACCATGTAAATGTTTCCTATTCTATGACCAACAAGCATAATTCGATTAGATGCAATGTCAATGACTTTACAACCATTAATTTCAAATAAGACATTGAATCCTTTATCGCATAATTGACTAATACTCAATAGATTATGCTTTAATCCATTCACATATAAAACATTCTTAATTTGTATGGAAGAGGTATTACCTATTGTACCAATACCTTCAATGTGACCTTTTGAATGTCTCCAAAAGTCACTTCTCCTCCATTTTTGGCGTTAAGCTCAATGAACCGGCTTTTGTCTCCGGTCATATGTCTTGAGCATCCACTATCAAGGTACCATGAGTTTGAATTTGTTTCCCGTGCCTTGTAGCAATGCTCTTTTCCCTACAAACATAGATTAATTTTTGATTTTTGGTACTCAAATTCTTTTGGGTCCATATTCATTAGTTTCCAAAATCCTAGTCCCTTTAGGTATCCATTTGTGTAGGATATTTTTATCTTTAGTAGTAATGAGTTCTTTAGGAACCCACACACTTCTAATGATTTTTCCATTAGAGGTTCTTTGGGGACCTCTATGATTGTAGTTTCTAAAACTTTTTCTAACAAAGTTGGATTTTGAATTTTCACCTTTTTCAAAATGTTTTGTTCCAACTTTATCAAAAGAAGTTTTAAGATCATCAATTTTCTTTTGATGATCATCATTGACCTTTGAAAGTAAATTTTGCAAATCTAAATTTTTCTTTTCAAACTCTTCTAGTTTGATTTGCAAATCTTTGATTTTACTTTCAAGATCATTGTTGGTTTTGGATATGAGTTTATTTTCATTTTTCAACTTTGAAACATCATTTTTATATTTTAAAAATAATTTCTCATAATCCGAAGCTAACCCATTATATTCCTCTAATAGCTCATCATAAGATAAATCATCAAAATCAGATGAGTTAGAGGTTACCTTAGAATCTTCCCCAAATGCCATTAAGCACAAGTTTGCTACTTCTTGTTCTTCTTCATCGGAACCTTCTTCATCGCTCCATGTAGCCACATGAGCCTTGTGCTTATTTTTTGATTGACCATTTTTCTTCAATTGTGGGCAATCATATTTGACATGCCCCAGCTTTTTGCATTCATAGCAAATGATTGGGTCCTTCTCTTTTGGTTCATTTTTGAGGCATTCGTTTCGTTTGAATTTTCTTCCTTGGTAAGGTCTCATCATTTTTCTGAACCGTTTGGCAAACAATGCCATTTCCTCGTCATCATCATCATCATTAGAATCACTCTCATCTTTTGTGGATTTGAGAGCAACTCCAATGTTTTTCTTCTTCTCCTTCTCCTTTGGTGTCTCTTCAACTTTATCAAGGTCCACCTCATCTTCAAGCATCATCTCATGAGTGAGGAGTGAACCGATAAGTTCTTCAAGAGTTAAGGACGATAGGTCCTTAGACTCGATGATTGTCGTCTTCTTTGATTGCCATGATTTTGGGAGGGAGTAGACTAACTTCCTCACAAGCTTTTCATTTGAGATGATCTCTCCATATGATTTGAGACCATTGACAATCGTTGAAAATCTATCCGTCATAGCTTTGATGTCTTCATTTGGTTTCATCCTGAAATTTTCATAGCTATGCGTTAGAATACTAATTTTTGATTTCTTTACCTCATCGGTACCTTCATGTGTGACTTGAAGCTTGTCCCATATTTCTTTGGCGGTTGTACACGATGAAACTCTTCCGTATTCATCTGGTCCAAGAGCACAAAAGATAATATGGATGGCTTTGGAGTTGAGCTGGAACATTTTGTATCTCCTTCACTCCACAACCTTGGATGAGTGATAGGCTTAATGTATCCTTCTTCTACGGCATTCCATGCTCCCATGTCACTTGTTTGAATGAAGTACATCATTCTATTCTTCCAATAGGCGTAGTTAGCTCCATTGAAGAAAGGAGGCTTGTTGACGGGCATCGAATCGAGACCGGAGTCGAAGTTTGAAGCGGAGGCCATTGATGACTTTAATAATCGATATAACTCTTCCCGAATCGACTCAAGAGGCGATAAAACCTTCAAATGAGTTAGGCTCTGATGCCAATTGTTGAGTTAATCGAATGACGAAATTGGCCAAGAGGGGGGGTGAATTGGCAATAAAAAAATTTGTGGAAGCTTTTGCAGAAAATTGAAAGTAATTGCACAGCGATTTACAGTGGTTCGACTTTCTCAAACAAAGTCTACGTCCACTACCTTAGCTATCCACACTAAGGATTTTCCAACAAATTCACTAATTTGTTCTTTCTTTTGAGGCCAAAGAGATAACCTTACAATTCCCTCAAGAGTATACCCCAACTCTTGAGAACACTCTTTTCTCAAAGAGAAGATTACAAATTTGCAAACTTACAAGAAAACCTCACAAGGTAAGATGTTTGCACAATTCTAAAACAAAGAAAAGAACACTCAAAGATGAATACAATTGAGCACAAAAAGTGTTCTTGAAAGCAAAATGAATATTGAATGAAAATAGGCTTGAAATGCTCAAACTTGAGGTTTGATGCTTTCTCTTTGATTCTCTCTTGATTCTAGTTGCTTGATGTTTCTTGTTATTGATCAATGGCTTCTAAGCTTGCTTAAATACACCTTGGATCACTTCTGAACGTTGGGGATAATTAGAGAAGATATTATAGCCATTTTAGTGTGAAAACATTTAATAAAACAGCTTGGAGCGTGGGGGGAATCAGTTCCCTCTCATAGGGAATCGGTTCCCTAAGTGTAAAATTCAAATATTTCGACCGTTGAACAGGGGGGAATCGGTACCCTCCGAGCATACTGGAATTCTCGGAACAAAAATGTTTAGGGGGGAATCGGTTCCTCCTATGGGGGAATCGGTTCCCTCCGAGCATTCTGGAAATCTCGGAGCCAAACCATTTAGGGGGGAATCGGTTCCTCCTATGGGGGGGAATCGGTTCCCTCTGAGCAATCTGTAATTTTTGACTTTGAATTGGTTCGAAATACTTTGTAAAATTATTTTGAAATTGTTTTATGATTAAAACTTAATTTTACACTTAAGTAAGGATTAAAAATGATTTTTGAAATATTTGGAGTAATGTTTTGATATTCGAATAGTTATATCGAATATACTTTAGAAAATCATTTGGAAAATCTTAAAATCCATTTAACTTAATTTGTTATATCGAAATATTAAAATGTTTCAACAGTAAGGTTATCTCTTTGTCCTCAAAAGAAAGAACAAATTAGTGAATTTGTTGGAAAATCCTTGGTGAGGAGCTAAGGTAGTGGACGTAGACTTTGGTTGAGAAAGTCGAACCACTACAAATCGTTGTGCAATTCTCTATCTTTCAATCTCCTTACTCCCTAAACACAAAACCGTTTTGACCCCTCTTTGCAAACCGTTCCGGTAGTCGATTCGAGCTTTCAAATATCCCAATAGCGATCATGGTCGACAAAGGAGGTTAGGATTAGAGTTAAGGTTAGGGATTTGGGAGTTTTGAGGATTTGTATTTTTTTTGTAATTTTAGAAAATATAGGTTTTTATAAGTATAATATTTAAAAAAAAATCAAAATTACTAGAGTGTGACACGTGTCGCTTGACGGAATTTTTTAATGACTCTTATGTTCCGGGCATCTAAAATGGTAACGTTTGTGACATTATGCACCTAGATGATTAAAAAAAATTAGACACCTATTTAGGAGAACCAGTATAGTTTGGGTACTTATTTTATAATTAAGCCTTTAATATATATAGTTAAAAGTTTTATGTATTTAAAGCTTTTTTGAGAAAAATATCAGCTGAGTTTTTATTCGATTGATGTAATTATTATTTATAAGAGTGCATATTCGATTAAAATTTGATTGATAAATCTAGGGAAAATACAAAACAATATATGTTTAAAGGCTCTCAATCAATTGATAATGATCATTCATGTTAGCTTTATCGATTAACCAAATAATGCCAACAGTGAATTGGCCTTTTAAAAAATTTGGTGGAAGGAATAGAAAAATTGAAAGAATTGCACAATGATTTAGAGTGGTTCGACTTTTAAACCAAATATATATCCACTACCTTAGTATCCACACTAAGAATTTCTCAAATCCACTAGATTTGCTTACCTTTAAGGACAATGTATAATCTTACAAACTCTTCAAGGTTTATACCCCAAAACATTGAATACACACTCTCACTAAGAGTAGTTACAAATTTAGCAAACTAAAGAAAAAACCTCATAAAGGCAAATGAGTTTGCAACTAATTAAGCACACACCCAAATTATACTTGAGCAAGAATATACAAGAAGCTCACAAGTATATTAAAAAAGATTTGACAATTTTTGCTCTAAAATACTATTGATGTTGGTTTGATCTTTTAATTGACTTTCTTATTGTTCTCCATTTGAATCTTCGCCCCTTTTATGTCTTCTAACGTCAGTCTAGCCATTTAGAGCCATTGGATTCATTAATTTTGAGCATTTAATGATCACCTGCACATTTGATATCTATACTAATATGTTGGTCTCGAGACCGAGCCTTCTAATGGTAAAAAATATAGTCGTTGAGCCATGTTGCTGAAGAAAGAGATGGTGTAGATGGAGCAGGGCAGAGTTGATGGCATGTTGGTATCATTGTGGAACATGCGTTGGTGAAGAGAGTTATGTTTAACCTTCTTTTCTTGTGTTGTAGTGAAAATGTTTATTCCTTTATAAAGTTTAGTTTTGGTCCATTTTAGTACCTAAATTTTTTATTTTTTTAAAATCATACCTAAAGTTTAGTTTTTGTTTCATTTTAGTATCTCGTTCAAAATTTAATGTTAAGTTTTGATTTTTTTTTGAAAGTTTAGATGTTAAATAGACCAAAACTGATAGTTTAGATACTAAACACGTTCAATTTTTAACGACGGGTACTAAAGTGAAACAAAAACTAAATATTAAGTATGATTTTGAAAATATTAAAAGTTTAGATACTAAAACGGATTAAAAATGATATTTTAGATACCAAGTGCATAATTTACTCTAATAAATATTGAATCTTGAATTCAATTAAATTTCAAATCACCCACCGACCTTGAAGTATCAATAGCATACGAACTCTAAGTAGCGATTTCCCTTTTACCCCCAGGTTCTTCTAGGGCAATATCCCGCTATTTTTTACCTCCGATTAATAGTCATCTCTTGAAATTTTGTTCTTTTAATTTGAACATGGATGGCAACAAAGATGATGCCTTGAAATGCTTGAAAATCGGCAAAGATGCATTGGACGCCGGAGATCGAGACCGTGCGCTCAAATTCCTCACCAAAGCGCGTCGGCTCGACCCATCTCTTCCCGTCGACAATCTCTTATCAGAGGCTAATGAAGCGAAATCCGACGATCGGTCGACCCCGGAACCTCCTTCCGATTCTTCTCAATCCAAGCCGTCCGATAAACCCTCAATTCGCCGGAGGAATCCACCGTCTGGATCTGCGGCTGCTTCTTCCTCCTCGCCGACGGCTATTGCAGGTACGTACACCGAAGAGCAACTCTTGATCGTGAAGCAAATCAAGAAGAAGAAGGATTATTATGAAATTTTGGGGTTAGAGAAAACGTGTTCCGTTGATGATGTTCGAAAAGCTTATCGGAAACTGTCCTTGAAAGTTCATCCCGATAAGAACCAAGCTCCCGGTGCCGAGGAAGCCTTCAAGTCGGTTTCGAAAGCGTTTCAATGCTTAAGCAATGAAGAAAGTAGGAAAAGGTACGATCTCGTTGGATTGGACGAACCTGTTTACGAGAGGAGAGCTTCACCGTATCGTGGCGGGGGCAATGGATTCAATGGCTTTTACGATACAGATTTTGACGCGGACGAGATATTTAGGAACTTCTTCTTCGGTGGGATGCCTCCGGCGACTACCCAATTTCGAAGTTTCAATTTTGGACCTGGAATGGGAGCTAGAACGGGGGATCAAGGCTCTGCTGGATTCAACATCCGAATGCTGATTCAGTTGCTGCCGATCCTTCTAATCATCTTGTTTAGCTTTTTACCATCATCTGAGCCTGTTTTTTCGCTGTCCAGGTCGTATCCTTATGAGTACAAGTTCACAACAAAGAATGGTGTGAACTTTTACGTGAGGTCGACGAAATTCAAGCAGGATTATCCAGATGATAGTATTGAGCGTGCAAGGATTGAGGAACGTGTTGAGAGAGATTATTATTCTATTTTGACTCAGAACTGTAGATTTGAGCTTCAGCGGCAGCAATGGGGATTTATCCGTGAGACGCCGCATTGCGATAGGCTCGAGAAGTTTCAGTCTGCAGCAGCAGCAGCAGCTTAATGGCTTCTATTAAGGTCTTTTCCATGCCCCTGTGTTATTTTTGTCCCATTAAGTTTTAAGGTTTGAAGTTTTAAGTGCAATGATTGTCGGTAAGCATCGGAATGATTATATATGTTATTATGACATGTCTATTTGCTATACAAATGCACAATTTGAAATCTGGGTTCAAGGTATACAGTTTGATAGCTTGTTATGCATGTTGATATCGATTCTTAATGTGACTTTATCTAGGCCTGAATGGTATAGTTATGCCTGTAGTATAATGAAAGCATGTGCCGTTAGTTTTGATGATGATAAAAATCGAATGTGGTTCAGTTAGAGTTCACACGAAATTTTCATTTTTGTTGCATAAATATGTTCTCATTCTTCCAAACTTCATTCTGCTGCCCTTTGAAAATGGTTCTTAAAGCAATTTCTCTGCACCTGGCATAATCATACACATTTGCAGTAAGAGACAGCAGCTTTCTAGTATTAGTGTTAAAATGAGTAGAAACTTTTGTATATGGAATACTTGCATGCAATCTTACAATTTGATGTGTCACACAATTAAATCAGATTTCTTTTACTGGATGGTTACCTATATGACTCGAATATTACAAACAATTTTCCCTTTTCAAAATGTTCCTTTTGAAACACTAAGTACAATGTTTTAGTTTTTTTTTTATATAAATGGGAGGCCTCGTTAAAAACCCCCTTCATAACCGTCAAGCTACGAAAATAGCTTAACGGACATTGGAAGGAGGAAAAGAGTGCCTCAAAATTTTATTACTTAAATACCAAGTACATCAATAGTACATTACAACCAAACACAACCAGAATACATCCACAAAATGACTATAACAATCTGCAGACAACACAACAAAAACCTATCCCTAACTTAGCAATACTTGCCCCTCCTTACAAAATAACCTAGACATCCTTTACACAGCAGAACAGTAGGCTGCACTACAAACTAATACCCAATTCCCGACTTTGCAAGCTCATCAGCCTTCCAATTACAACTTCTCTGAACATGCCTTACAATTACACTTTTATCCACCACCACAGCACAAATTTTCTTGACCAAAGATTCGAACAAAGCTGTGCATGAACCAGGATTTTTGATCCACTCCAAAGCCTTCTAACTGTCCGATTCCAAAATCAACCTACCTTTATGTTCCCACTCCTTCTCAAAGAAGAAGCGTAATCCTATTTTAATTGCAAGCAATTCTGCCAAAATAGGGGGGGGCAGCCCGACCTTTTTCGAGAAGGATCCCAGCAACTTACCATTCGAGTCATGAACAAGACCACCTATTCCACCTCTATGCCACTCCTCCTCCACTGCTCCATCAACATTTATCTTCAAAAAACCTAAGGGAGGAGGGGACCAACCAGGTGAAGAGGATATCACCTTCTTGGCATTCCAATGAATATCTGCCAGCGATGAGTCACTCACCAAGCAATCAAACTGCAAATTAGCACTAGGAAATTTTGCAACAAACCATGAAACCAATCTAAATCTGACGAGGAATGACAGTTGAACTGAATCAAATGAACCCTTCTTAAAAACGATTTCATTCCTACACTTCCGCACAAACCACATAATCACACCTGGTATGAACGTCCAAATGTGAGAGTTTTGAACTAAATCCATCCAAGCCACTACTAAATCAGCAGGATTACATGGCAATACCGCTGTAACTTTCCAAAAACGTAGAAAAATACACCAAACATCCCACACAAACTTACAAGATACCATAAGATGCATACAATGTTTTAGTTAAAGTGCAAGCTTTGCTCTTGTGGCTTCATGTTCTTATGGTATGCTGCTGGAGAAGTTTGAGTAAGGACATCTTGAATCCCTTCTCTCCTTTCTGCACGTCTAGTCTCTTTGATTACATGTTTGATGCCGATTAATCTGTTGAAAAAAAAAATTCACTTCCCCTTCGTCTTAGTAGGCTAACAATGACGGTGTGCATTTGTGATGTAGGTGACAGACTGAACAAAAGTGGTCGGACTTGTCACGTTGCACACTCTGCTTTCCATACATAGCAAACACGGAACTGCACTTTGTTTTGGAGTGTATAATTGGGTTCTCAAGCTGCTAAGGAAGGCATTAGGCCACATACTGAGATTTTTTATTGATATAATTTGGTTAATGTAAGATTTTATATATCCAGGTTGATGTATGTCTAGAATGTTATCTGGACTGATATGGCTTATGCAGACCATCCATTTTGATGTTATTTTAGTTAATATTAACTGACAGAACAGTCTTGAAGTCACGCATCCTTTGATTTTGTGTTCCTTTGATCGTATGAAGCAGCATTGCTGTTTTGGTTTAGATGCTATTTTGGGGCACTTTCAGGGTTTCCCCCATTTATAGAGATGGAAAACCTCGGCTTTGTGATGCAGGCTCCAGGGATGGACTTAGGTAAGGTGGGGGTGATCGTCCCTCTAAAAATTTAAAATTATCTCGTACTTTGGGTTTTTTTCTATGTTTTTATATTGAAAATATGTTTTTGCCTCCTGAAATTTTATAAGTTCGAATTTGCTCCTCTTAATATATAATCATGCGTCTGTCTCCATCCGTGATATGAACTTCTCAAGTAATCCAAAAGCCTGAAACAAAAAATTGGAAACTCCCAACTTACAAATGATATACCATACCCCCTTCATGATGTCCTCAGCCAATAATATATTTTCGGAAGTGCTTCTGCCAGGTATGAATGCAGACTGGTTTAGGTTGATGCACTGCAGAAATTGAAGTACTCTATTGACCATAATTCGAGTAATACATTTATAAACTACTGTTGTACCTCTTCAGGATTTTTTTTCCCCGGAAGTCGCATTTCCGTTTCCATACGAGTGTCGAGGATTTTGGAGCTTTTTTGAAGTGTCCAAAACTTCATATTTTCTGAATAGCTATAGCATCTTGCCATGACCATCGATAGGCTCACATGAACTACAATTCATTATTTCACAGTTAAACCTATTTGGTTTGTCAACCTACAAGTATTCAACATCATTCTAATTCTAACACCGGCACTAAGAAAAAGGGATTCTTGAAGTGTCTCTCTTTGATCTCACTATTCTTCATCTTCTATAGTTCATTGTTCTCCATCTCCTTCAGTGAACCGCTAATTATAATTTTCGTAATCTTTAATGTATTCTGGACTAACTTTTTCAGGCAGTAAAGTCGCAATAAAATCCATTACCACAATCTTCCAAGCGTCTTTAGGAAGTGTGCAGTGTAAATAAAAAACATAACCGCGCCAGATAGGGGTCGAACCTACGACCTTCTGCTTAGGAAACAGACGCTCTATCCACTGACCTACAAGCGCCACCGTGGCAATTTTATATAACATTAATATTAGTATATTATATAACAAATTATTACGTTTATCATGCAAAACCACCTGCTCTTACGTTAGTGTCTTATGTTTCATGCTGTGAGCTCAGGTCCGAAACGTGTGTGCTAATAATATTCGTTAAAGAGCAGAGTATTAAGTTTGTCTGGATCATCTGATCCGATCATTGGATAATAAAACATATTCTCTTTGATTTGATAAGACTAATTTGAATTCGAATTCCTTTTCTTTAAATAACATGTTGCAAGTATAAGGGAGTATATGTTCAAAGATAATTCTCAATTTTTCAACATTGAACGCTCACACCCTTGATATCTATGATGCTCGAACCCGAATCCTCAAGAATAATAATAATAATTCCTTTATCACGGAAGTCAATTGGTTCGTGCTGAATTTGAGCTCCTTCGAATATGAGATTTTGTAGATAAAGTTAAAACTCAACCGAAACCGAAGCTCAAATTTCATTACCTAAGATCACACGAATCATATAGTCGAAATTCTAGCCCGTGCCACTTGTCTCACGAAGAGCATCTCAATTTGCCAATCAGTGCTTTAAATATGGATCCAGCTCCCATGGGCAGCACCATTCACCACATTTTTTTCCTGTTCCGACAAAGTGATCACGCTGGTTTCTCCATGGCTTGGTGTTTTCCCAGGACTTTAGAGATTGTCGTTTCGGAACAAAACAATGACTCATCAAAATATCATGGAACAGTTGAAGATTATGGACAAAAAGATCACTGTTTTCACCAGTTGATTGGAAATAAAACAGGGTATGAAAGGAGTAATGTGACCCACCAAAGATGAGAATTTGATCGTATGGTTCAAACAGGAGGATTATATATATACCAAACAAAAACAAGTTGATTTTTTTCCCATTTGTGAAAAAGAAAGGGTTTGTGTTGAATTTTGTGTAATGGATTATGGTCCATGCACTCGAGATACTCTGGGTTTTTCCCAGCTCTGAAAATGCATGCTTCACACTCAAACTCCAACTTCATCTCTCTCTGTATGGTTGTCCCCCTTCTTTTTTTCATTTTTTTAATAATTTAATATTTGTATTTTGTAATTTTAATTAATTTATTAATCTAGTGTGCTTACAAGTAGTTGTATTTGTTTTAAAGATTTGCGATCAATATCGGATTCATAAATTTAAGAACGGGTCCAAAATTTTAATTTTTTTTCAAAAAATAATGGGTATGCAATTTTTTATGTTTTTTTATCTTTTTTTCTTTAACACTTTAAATTAAATTTAACATTTTTTTCAAAATAATGAGATGCACTTGGTTCTTATGGGAGAAATTATTAGATGGATTCTGCTCACCACGTCATCTATGGTCCCAACTAATAACATTTTTCCATTTCATTTTTTTCCAATGTGAATCTTCACTTCTTTATTACGTATAAATAATGAGTGAACATTCATTTGAAAGTTATTTTAAAATTAATAGATGTGATTCACTGGGACCATGGATGACATGATGAACCAAGTTCATGAAATAATTTCTCCTTAGGGGCTTCAGTGCGTTCGCCCATGTTCTCGATCATTTGATAATGAATGCTTAAATACTTCTGTAGTCTCTGATGATTGAACAAGAAACTTCTAGAAATAACAATCGTTTCTTTAATCACATATAGTTTGATTTCTATTTAAAATAATTACTATTGAATAAAAATGATTAATATGCATTATTAACTCGACACATTAACATATAATTTTTAGGGTAAACTACTCAGTTGACCACTTAACTATTTAGTCCTTTTACTTTTGTAATCGATCTTTTAATTTTATCAAGCACACTATTTAACTATTTAATTGTTTCAATCAAACCAATAACCGTTATCATTGACGGAAATGATGACGTGGCCATTAAAAGCCACTACTTATTTGACCACTTCACTATTTAATTGTTTCAATTAAGCCACATAACTATAATTATGTCAATTTCTTTTAATTGTTATGTCATCATTTCTATCAATAATTAACGAATAATAATTTGATTGAAACAATTAAATAATTAAATGATATGATTGATAAAACTAAAAAATCGATAGTAAAAATAAAATGATAAATAGTTTATCCAAAGTTTTATTTCTCACTGAAACTATTGTGCATGTGAGGGAAAATATAAAGAAAAATATCTAAGAGACAAGTCAATGATTGATAATTGAAAAGACACCATTAGCCTTGATGGGATCAAATCAATGCATGAAGAACCGTAAAGATCAAAGAGGATAGAAGGGGAATCCTCCAAAATTTAACCCATGAACGACAGCTCACCTATAAGGCCAGAAAATACCCACTGACGGAGGCTCAACCACGGTCCCTAAGAATGGGCATAGGACCGAATCCAACGAGTTATTACCTAACTCGATCATCAGATTTTTTTTTAAAAAATTAGATTCAGATTAAATTTGAGTGTAGATTAAAAAATATCTGATACAGGTTGACCCTAAAAAAATTAAATTACTTTTTATAATTTCAAATAATTACAATAACACTCTTTATATATTATTATTTTTAATTAAATCTCTATTTTTATTGAATAAAAATAATATTTTTATAAATATATTTATTTTAGATCGACCGGATCAAGTCCGGCTCGAATTTTATTTAAAAAAATTGAGTTAAGTAAAGTTAACCCTAAACTCATACCAAAATTGGATCGAATGAAATTATTCCTAAACTAGATTTGAGACAAATTAATCAAAATTTTAATCCGACACGACTCATGCCCCTCCCTAATCCCACCAACATCTCGGGTCGGAGCTTATTTACAAAAATAAATGGAATCTTTGGGGGTTGTCTCAGGAAAGTCGGATTAATATACAGTTAATATACGGCGTTACCGGATATATTAAAATATATTTGACAAATTTGGTTTAGCGCTATCGGAAATATCGAGTAATAATAATGTAATAGGTGGAAATCATGAAGAAATATTAAAAAATTTGGCAACCGACAAACTTAGCTTGTCGGTTTGTGTCGATACTTTATAAAAATATATTGATCTATAACAATATAACAGATAAAAAAATGACAAAACCGGTCTATAAATGACAAAACAGGTAAAGCGCTACCGGATATATTGAAAGTGTTGATACTTTATAAAAATGTATCGATCCATAACAATATAACAGGTAAAAAAAAATGACAAAACCGGTCTATAAATGACAAAACATGTAAAGCGCTACCAGATATATTGAAAGTGTCGATACTTTATAAAAATGTATTGATCCATAACAATATAACAGGTAAAAAAATGACAAACCCGGTCTATAAATGACAAAACAGGTAAAGCGCTACTAGATATATTGAAAGTGTCGATATTTTATAAAAATGTATCGATCCATAATAATATAACAGGTAAACAAATGATAAAACCGGTCTATAAATGACAAAACAAGTATAGCGCTACCGGATATGTTGATAGTGTTGATACTTTATTATAAATATTGACACTTTTGAATTTAAAAGAGAATAAGTTATAGTGCTAATAAAGTGTCGATACTTTATAAAAATGTATCGATCCATAACAATATAACAGGTAAAAATATGACAAAACCGATCTCGAAATGACAAAACCGGTAAACAGCTACCGGATTTGTTGAAAGTGTCGATACTTTATTATAAGTATCGACACTTTTGGAATTTAAAAGAAAAGAAGTTATAGCACAAATAAAGTGTCGTTACTTTATAAAAATGTATCGATTCATAATAATATAATAGGTAAAAATATGTCAAAATCGGTCTCGAAATGACAAAACCGGTAGTAAAAAAGTGTGCTTGTGTGGTCATTTTTAATTTAGAATTTTCATTTTTTAATACAAAAAGTTAAATATTTTAAGCAAAACCCATTAAGAAAAAAATAAAA